AAACGACGCATGCGGGCTGAGATTTACTAGCGTTCTCTTATACAATAATATAACCTCTTCATATAATACCATAATAAAATACATAGATATGTCCATAAATACTTGCGAAACATATTATTTGCGGGGCATTCTATAGTAAGTCATTTGCTGTTTTTATTTTAGGTTGATGAGCTCATGACTGCTTATGTGAATATGGCAGACACGCGATTTTCGTTTGAGCATCCAGAAAAGTGTTTCGAACCATCAGGATACGCACCCGAGGCTCTACAGAAACGACAAGAAGATATCAATTGGAAAGCAGCAGATATGTGGTCATTCGCTATTTTGCTGTGGGAGCTGGCCACACGTGAAGTTCCTTTTGCTAATATACCCCCTATGATCATGGGTATGTACAGAAGAAAATATGAGCTATCTTTTTTCAAGTTCAAAAGTATTTAATACATTGTTTTGAAATTTGTTGTGTTTTGTTTTTGGATGTTTGCCATCGTTACTCCATAAAAGCTCAAGTCAAGAAAAAATTAAATTGGAAGTATAAGACAAGTTAAGAGGGCTCGGAAATGACCGAAATAATATTTAACTCAAAGTGAGTCTACCACGTTTAGCGTTCTTGTGATTCAAAGCCATCTAGTAAAAAGCGTACTTCTAGATTAAACAATTGGAACGACGCTAGTGATCACAATACTAGTTTCTCTAAGTCAAATTCTGGAAAGGATGTCTCTACGAGATTGTTGACATTTTGCAATGAATGCCTTAGAGTTAAATCTCATTTATAGTGATAGTTGCAATGTGCTCTGTCCGCAGACGCACATTATTCTCCAGAATACTGGCAGTACAAATAAGGATGTGTGTTTATGCTCACAATATTTCAGTCGTAATGGTGCAATAGGATTCAAAGCACTGTAAACCTTAGTATGAAATTTTGGTTATGAGACATGTTATGAAGAAGCGTGCGTGTAAAATCGACGGAAGTACCAGTATCTTTATTTAAAATATGAAAAGGCTGTAAATTCCGGTGTGGACTCCTTTTTAAAAATATATTGGTTGCAATTTAGTTATTTTTGCTATTCAGATTTAACAGATTGAAAAGCATTCTGTTGGTTAATATTTACGTGTATACCCTTACAGGTATGAGGATTGCGATGGAAAATCTTAGAGTACCAATTCCCCCTGGAATATCTCCTCACATGGCTCGCTTAATCAAAATCTGCATGAATGAAGACCCTGGTAGAAGACCAACGTTCGAGCAGGTTATTCCTATTCTCGAAAAAATGGTCTCTAGGTAGATACATACTAAGGAAGTTCGAGAACGTAGAAGCTTCAATACTGACCGGCCAGCATAAATGTGTTTGGTAATTATGGTGTAGAGGATTGTTTTACCTTTATAAGTTTGGCGAGCCATTGTCATGAAAAAACACGTTTTTTTGAACTCCTGCATCAACACTATTAACATTAAACGGAAAACTAAGTTTAATGCACAATCATAAAACAAATCTATAACTAACCTTCTTTAGGAAATCGTATTATAAACAGATGTAAATGATATGAACATAACATTTACATCGGAAAGTTTGTGAAAAGGGTAAGGAAAAGATTAAAAAAAAAAAGTACGTTCATGTTGTTTGCTCGTTTGAAACAACCGTAAATGCATCCTTTATTGTTCATTCATTTTATTTGATATATATATATGCAATCTCACATAGGAAGCTGTCGTTTATAGCCGGTACAGCCTACTTAAAATTCAAAGTAATATGGGTTATAATGTTAATCGCCGCTGGCAATTCACGAAAAATAGATAAAGATGCTGCAAGGGCTGCATACTTTTACAAAGTTCGGAAACAATTGCGAACTTTGAAAGGTGGTGATTTATAATTTATTTGCCAATTAAGTATATGCTATTAATGTCATTGGTTGTAATTAAATAACCTCTGTGCAACTGAGTGCATATCACCATTGCTAATTAATTTGCTGTCATTAAAAATAGAAAAATAGGTGGGTGTTTTTTCTAAGTTTTATTCGGCCTTGTATAGCTTTAACGAAACGTATTACCAAATAGGGAGCCGAATCTACGAACTCACCTACTTTTTCACAAAGTGCTGAAAAAATCAGGAAATTTTGCGGTGTTCAAAAAAGCATGACAACCGTCTAAATCGTCTGAAAAAGCGCAACCCCAAAGAAATGCGTTTTTTTAACGATGCTCGTGAAACTACGTAATTCAGTTGATGCTCCTTATTACTACCCACTTTCTGAATCATCTAAATCTTTCAAACAAGCGTTCCAGAAAGACGTTTAAAATATTAAACAAAAAACAACTTTCCGTAAAATTGCTTGTCTGAAACTGTACTCGATGTTTCTGTGTGAAATTACTTAGCTTTTTTAAGTACCATAGAGTTGCGTGGCTTTTCAAGCAACTTCTAAACAAAAACAAAATAAATGAAAATACTTAAAGTTCTTTATTGCATATTTTCAGTTAAATTGTTTTTCAGCTTTTAAATAGAAGCAAGATAAATTAAAATAACTGGTACTAACCATTGCATATTTTTAGTCAGACTTTTTCTATAATAGGTTTTTTAAATCTTGTTCAAGTACATTGGGCCTTACTTCTAGAATTTATCAAGATACTGTGACAACTCTGGGGCTTTCTCTAGCACCTTCTAAGTCTAGTCTCCACTAAATTAACACTTATTTTAACGTAATTTTTTTTACCCTAGACTGAAACTTATTTAAATGTTACCTTCACTCAGACTCACGGCAGACTTCGTTTTTCGTTTAGCTGAAAGGGAGCTTAGACTGAGGCAGCTTCTGTGCTCTACGTGTGGCTTCTTTCTCTTTTGCTTTTCTTTAGCTCTATTATTTCGGCTGCATACTCAGAGGTTATAATCTGGTTTTCTTGTGAGTCGTGAAAAAAGATGGTTTCCTTCCAGCTTTGTCCATTTCAGCACGAAGAGCATGCAGTATTTTTGTGCGCGTGAACCACGTCGCCGCACCTATCAATGTCGCTTGTGATCTGTAGATTTCTTCGCGTCCTTCCTATTCAATGGAGGCATCTCGCGGAAACCATGCAAGAATAATCCGTAAAAAAATTCGAAGTAGGCGAAATCGTGGCTGCAATTTAACGATTGAGGTACAACAAGTCCTCTGAGGCAGATGGTACACGAAACGAACATTTTAAAGAGGCGTTACTGAGTGATTCAGAATGCCGCAACATTCCGCCACATTCAGAATGACGCAAAACTTCCTTCTCAGTCAAATCAGAAGACTAAAAACTTCCTAGCGAAACATTTAGAAAAATTTCCTCAAAACAATGCTTGTTTCCAAACTCACAGATGTCTTCGACATTCAATCTGTTGTACAACAGGTGTTTAGTACCAGCTAATAAATGCGTGCCGGAATCACTAGATCACATCTAACTTTTGTAAAGAAGATTTCGAAGGTACGAAGGAGTGTTCGTGAACTTTTACTGTGCATTTGACCCTGCCGTACCCTAACAACTTAAGGTCAGTGCAAAACTGGCTGCAACAAGAATGTAAAAACAATATTTTTCAACCCTTAGTTTTGATCCTAGAAATAACGGTAAGATTTTTTCAAAATGATCGCTAAATTGTGAATTCGATTGAGGTTGTGTTTTGGGTTGTGGCTTCTGCTTTATTGGGCTATCTTCAGGCAAATCATTTTTAAAAAGTTTGCGGTTCCTACAAACAGTAGCGACCACAGGTTATCTACCCGGCCGATTTCAGTCACTTAAAGGAAACGCTTTAACTCCGTAACAGAATCCTGATCGAATTCACAATGGTGTGACGGTCATGTTTCCTAGGAAACTGCAGACTTGGTACCGAATGGAAATTCGTAAACAGGTACAAGTACTTCGATATTTTCCTTCCGTGAAACAAAGCAACTTCCACACAGTACGTCCTGCTTTCTCTATCTGAAAATAGTTTAACCTCAGGATAGTGCGACAGCCGTATGCGGTACTTAATTCACTTGCTATCATCTAATACGGGCGCCACCAGAGAAGCTAAATCGCTGTAAGCGACCCAACCTTAAACCCATTCTGTGGTTCTACATGACTCCTCACATTAGGTTGGTGTACCACTTTACGTGTTGGCCACTATTCGTGCCGTATTTGATTTGTGCAAAGCCAAGATGTTCAGCCTTCCAAATACATAGATAGAAAAGGTCTATGAAAATCTTGGAAGCGCTGACAATAGGAAAATTATTAAACCTCTAACTAAAAATCAAACATCATTCCAGATGAACATAAAGAATACTATAAATGCAACTCTTTTTATATACTGTAATGAACTGACTTAGCTTAGCCGTTGACGGGCATAAACAAGCGTTTCACAGTCTCTCGCTTTGCGTTTATATAGCCAAAATATCCTAATATGAGTTTATGAATAAACACTAGACGTATTTATTCATAAACTCATATTACGATGTTTTGCAATACTACAGTAATGTACTCGATTACGATATAAATATTACTTGTAGTTCACACTTTACTTTCAACTACGCTATTAAATTGGTAAAAGGGTCGTTTTGTAGCTATTTTTACTTAAATTTATTTTCTGTCACTCTCCACGATTTTACATTTTTTAGACTATTTATTTATTTCTTCTCGCCAAATATTTTCAGGTCTGGCGTTGAAGACCTCGTCGAACCACGTTTTGAGACCCGTTTCGCCATCAAATGCATAGTTACTAATTTTGTTTATTGGAAAAAAGCTCGAACGACAACCAGGTTTTAATATTCCCTCTTTGTAACAAACGAACCCTTTCGAGAGTATAGGGTCCTCACTGTACATGGCAGAAATATCCTGAGCTGCTTCGATATTTTTTTTTGCACACAGGTACTTCCACCTTAATAACTTAATATTAAGTAGGAAATAATAAGTAAAATGAGGAAGGCACCGACATTTATGCCACAATCGAGTTTTCGGTTGCTTTATATTCATTCATACCATAATATGTTCTAATTTTTTTCCTAAGAAAAAATAAAGAAAATGAAGCGCCGAATTTCCGCTGATAAGTTTATTGTCAAATAATACATGATAGCTAGCGCCCCCATATGAAAATTTTGATTATCCTAAGATCATTATATAATACAAACAATATGGTCTAACCAAAAACTATTCCAATGGAAATCAATCTATAATCTGTTATTTGTTCAAACATATTTTTAGACGAAAATACTTTGATGAAAAAGCAAACACAATCAAGACATGCTAAGTAAGAATTCTACATATAGAGTATGTATTTTACAATGGTTTGTCAAGTACAAGTGCTTCGAAGAGAATAGCTATCTCAATTAAACAGGGCACAGCTGTAATCACCAGCAGCACCCAGTAGTAGGTTAGGTGAAAACTGTCCGCCATGAAGTGTCCAAGACAAAGGAAAGAAAAAGTGTGAATCGCAGCCGAGAAGAGACTTTGCCGGGGAAAAAACAGAGATGCTCCTGTAATAAAAAAAAAAGCGTATGTAGTTACACCTTTTTGAATTTAAAAATATTCAAAGCAAACGTTTGTTCCTTTTATAGTAGTCTTGCTTAGACGCTACGGAAGGATTCATTTAGAAAACGAGCCTGCTGTGCCCCCTTGTCCCCATGTTTAAGTTGTCATATATTTACCTTTGACGTCATCTACTTTGTTAACCGCAACTTCAACAAATTTCCATAGGGCAGCATAATCACATCAGAAAGTACTGTTCGTTGTTACCCTTTTGCACTCTTACTCTTTATAAGTCTTCTTGTAACCACTTCTTAAACGCTGACGTTTGAATCGGAGGAGAGCTTTATGCTTTACGGTAATGAATTACTACCGCAGGGCACTCAAGGAAAAGCACATTAGCCACGCAAATCGTAAAGTTTCTTTTTTATTTTAATATTTTTTTACATTTTGGAATAAAGATTACCAGCGTTTTAAATTAACGGTCATAGTTTGCATATTTTGTGGATAGAATTATTATTTCCCAGACAAGAAACATTGGCATAATATCGGCATCCAGAATTCAAGGCCGGCGGCTACTTTGGCCAGCAACAGGATGACGAAGTTTGACATAGTTAAAGAGTGCCTATTACTAGTCTCTCAATGAGAATAAGGAAACTGTATTTGTGGCTTTTTGTGTGAAAGTGTATATGTGCTTATATAAAATTTAAAAGTATAAAATGTAAATTCAGGATACATTTAAAAACAACAAATCTGACGGTGCATTAGAACACCCAATTTCTAATTTTGTAATTTAGCGCATTAAGGGATGCTTCTTGGTTTAGAAGCTGTGTCGGAGCGGTGTTCAAGTGCTTTGCGCGCACGTTTACACGCAGTAAAGTAGTCATATGTAATGTTTCTGATTTACTTTGCATCAATTATGTTGCACGGTCAATAGTTGAGCTGCGTAATCGAAAAAGAGTCGTTTAAGTTAGAAATTTGTTCAGTAATAGTTCGATCAGTGGAAATACCTGGATCATACTTGGATTCATAGTATATCAGTAGTGTTCCAGCAATTCATTGTTGCCCTGATTCTTCATTATTAATTACATACATGTTTAGACTACAAATTTTGGTTCGTTTCTATATTTTTTTCCTGTCATCTGTAGGATTTTGCGCACTGGATGTCATTGCCGGGCTGTTCCTTTGTTCTCGTTTACAAGACACCAATTGACACAACTTTTGTCTTGCCCATGGATTGCACTATGCCGTTGTAACGTTCCTCTGATATCTGAATGTAGCACCCGCAGTGAAGACAGCACTTTTAAAATAATTGAAGCGTTTTCGCTATGGGAATACATCTTATTAGGTAAACACAAGTAAATACAGACTGTGTGCATATCATCAAAAAGGCTGGTGCGATTACGGAATAGACTGAGAATGTGATTTTACGCTTACACCACGTCCAGAAGAACGTCAAGCCTTTACTCCCGCCGACCAAGGTCGAAGATTTAATATATTATAAATGACAAACGGTACACAAATGGAAGCTTACTCATTCGACTAAGAGCCCTCACGCAATTCAAGGTTGCTTCAATTTTTTTCTTTATTTTTTTTATTTAGTTATTTATTTTTTTTATTTTTAGGCAGAGATTTCCAATTTCTCATGGACATTTCCTGATTTTCAGTGCCGCAGGACTATGGATTCTGCTGCATACACGAAACCTGTTAATGAGTACAGCTAGACAAAAAGCCAAAAGATTAATGAGCACATGAATATAAAACCAACGAGTACCGATGAGCAAAAAACTGCCATGATCCCTTGTAGAAAAACCAAAGGCTTGCAGCAAAAGGGCTAATGCACGTAACAGCTGTCTCAAACGGTTGGCAGTCGCGACATGTTAGAAGACTCTGCATAGGTAAACGATGTGTGTGGGCGACAGACATGTTCACAAACAAAGAAACATACACATTTAGATATTTTTTCATTTTCACCGTTAAAATAATGGAAGGCACTCAAATTATTGCCATAAGGAATGATTTGCAACCAAGGTATCCTAATATATTTTCTACAACTCTCATAATATTTCTCAATACTATAACGTTTCTAGAATGCAATAGCGACAATAATGACTACTTTGGTAAATTAAATGCTAGTGACAAGATAAATGATATCGACTAATATCAGAACAGTACAATTTTTTCTTTTTATAAATATTCGGATTGGTGATAAATACTTGGCTACAAAAACTTGCATATAGCATATTCAAGATATGCAATAAGAAAATGGCAAATGGTTGTATAAGATGTATCAACGCTAGTCAACGCACACCCTGTAACATTATACCTTGTAATATGCCTGTAGCATAATATTATTTTAATTTTTGGATTATTGAGATGGTTTTAAGATGCGCCCTTTAGAAATTTGCACGTTTAAATCTATTCCATATTGTAATAATTGGCGTACCTACTGCTCTAACTAAAGACTCTTCTACCTCGAAGAGACTTTGGTTCAAACTGTCAAGTTCAGCGAAAGGAAGCCTAAGCAATGGGTAAAGAACAAGCATTAGCCTTTTCGAGAAATCAAGCAGGCGATTAGATATTTACAATATAACTTTGAGGCCGATGAAGGGGACTCGTGGAATTGTTTCTGGCTAAATCTAATCTTTGTAGACGCTTATCTCGAAGGAAGTCGACTTGTCAGAATGAAGTCCAATACTGACTATAGGGGATGAACGCAATGAGGAACGAGTGCTGCAGTTGAACAGCTAAGTATAGGGTCCTCAGTATCAAGTACCACCCGTCCGCTTTTTTGGAAACCTTTGTAACCGATGCCACGCGATCGGCGTCAACCGCCAGATCATCGAATATCTTGAATCTTTTGACAGGATTCAACAAATAACCAATGTGTCATCTAGGCATCTGGTGATATCACATGTTTTGTTATTTTTTATTAGGAGGATCTTTATTATTTCGCTCCACCGAGGTAGCGTTCGTCGGCTAGAAATACTTTGTATCTATAGAAACGTGTGTTGTTTTTTATTGATCAATATCAACTGTGTGTTATGGTTAATGATCCTTAAAAAATAAAAAGCAGCTACAAAAATTGACTACAAGGATTCTGCTAATATATTCGATGACATCGAATAAATGTTGCGCTATAACCGTCTATGAGTGCAGCCTGCTTCATTGTTTCATACTAAGCATTTTTCAGGCTCTTAACCTTGAACTCTGGTCTCCGAAGATATCTCCGCCTTCAATGTGCCACACAATGTGAGAAGCGTCGCATCACACACAGTATGTTATATTTTTTTAAATTTAGTAAAGAAAGTTATTTAACTTTAACAATAAAATGAGTACTGGAACCTCATGTGCCAAAAAAACTATTTCGTATGCAGGGTTTTATCAAAATTTCAAGGATTGGTTTCAGGCTTTGAAATACATCCATTAATCTTGGTCAGCGCTGCAAAAATGGCCACGCTATCTCTGTTACATTCCTAACATACAATGTGTTTTAGTGACTCCAATTCGCCTGCTTGCCAATATACGAGAATCTTCAAAGACAATGCTGGCTAATAATGCGACTTGACAGAATGGCGCCATGTCTCTTGTTTCGTTTCGAACCGTGCCCGGGTTCTATTTTGTGAGGCCCTGGGCTATAAGGTGAATAGAAGCTCGGCGCCGTTCAAATCTCTTTCACGTGTTCAGGAAAATCCCCATACCCGAAAAGAGAGCCCGACAAGATATAGAAAAAATCGCTTATAGAGGATAATACTCTTGAAAAATACTTCGGGACGTGATGCCATTCCTCGTGGAAACTACTCAAACGACTGTACTTTGAACTAGTTGTGTTTATTAGATTGTTCAATTGGTCGGCTTGATCTGCTTGCTGGCCTCAAAAGTGATAACGGCTCCTGCAACTGGCGAAATATATCTTCGCGTATTGAACCAAACGATACCGCATACTTTATGAGTGCCCTGACAGTTACGAAGTTTTCTTCTCACATCTTGACACATTAATGTAGGAAAAGATATGCAGATTAGTGCAACAAAGCAGCTCTATTTGCGCACCCTACTATATTTTATATTCCTATCATACTGTATTATAGGCACAAAACAAGATATTCTCATATTGATCAACAAAACCATTTGAATGGCCACGGTGTCATTGTCATGGCTATTTTATCAAAACATATACTAATGTTATAGCCTTTTAACATTGTATAATAGGAGTATAAAAGTGGTTATATGGTGTCTATGTAACAGATGTGCTGCAAATTAAATCCGCTCTTTACTACAATAATTTGCGTATCTCCAGCAACTTCAACGGCGTGAAATAAAGACTCTCCAACTGCTTCAGCTTGCGCATATATATTGGGTTGACAAAAAAATATTGACCGTTTGCCAAAGTAAATATTTTCCATATTTTAAAATGATATTACTAATCTAAACATGCACCATTCCAATCGATGATTCTCTGACATTTTTTAATACTGCATAACTTCTTTGGTTCCTTGGCAAAGGATTGTGACGAGTGATTTTTGCGCCCCTTTTTTGAAACTGAATTAATACTGTCGAAGGAGTTATGTGAAGACCCAAACAGGCAATATTTAGGTAGTGCAATATCTGATCTATACACCACATGCATTGAAATTTATTATTCAAGCTTTCTTTGTCTTTGCTAGAAAGCTAAAGCAGCATGTGGTCTACCATTCTGATGACGGAACAGGACGCCTTCCCTGTTCCCTAGCTCCAGTCTATTTTTCGAATGGCTTGTTATTATCTTACTAGCTGTTTACAGTTGAGGTCCGACGACTGTTTTGTCAAGCCGCAGCAACTCATAATACATGATTCCTACCGTACGTATTCCCAATCCCAGCAAGCACATACATTACGTATTTGGCTCCAGCTTGGCTTTACCACAAGTTGTGAAGCACATGTTTTTTTATTTCCACATTATTGTTGTATGTGATCCACTTTTCATTACCCGTGACCAATTGCTTTAGAGATGGCTTGGTTTCATTATATTTCTATAGAGCTTTGCAAACGGACATACGATCTTAAATAAACTATCGTGCGTCGGTTCATATGGTATTCAAACATCAACGTTTTTTATAGTAAACTTTTTTCAAATGCTTTTAAACTGTTAGGTGGTGGATGTATACTTAGTTAGGGATATCATAGCTACTCGCATGTCGATCTTGCTCAGCTTTCGCAATAGTTTTATCAACTTTTTTCTCTAATTGCAACTTTCACATTAAAATTCTGCAGACGAAAGCGAAAGAACAATTTTTAGACCGTTTCTTTTGGTGACGTATCTCGACCGTAGCACAAACTTGTTATGGGCCTGGCAGCATTTGTACCTTTCTTGTAATAAAATTATAAAATGTAGCAAATGTTTGCAGAAAGGTCACCCATCTTCTAAGCGTGTTATCTCAAGTCTGAATAAAAACATTCCAATAATTGCTCATGCGCTATCGACGAATCTTAGCCTCGAATGAAATTAACGCCGATACGATGAAACACTGCATACTGCTTTATTTTACTATTTGCTTAGACTTACCGATCATAAAACATGTCAGCTCGACAGTTACCAGAGTTAAGGCCATAGCAAGAGCACCGGTTATGCTATTTTGAGCGAGTTCAAGAAGATGGTGGTCATCGCGCTTTGACCATGATACTGAGGAACGTGCCACTGCCTCAACGTCCCACAAGAGAATGAGAAGAAGTGCAAAATGTCCAAGAAGCGCCACAAACCGAGGAATCTCAAAGCCGCTATGGACAGTCATTTTATGACAGCCTAGAATGAAAAAAGGAATGACAACAACCATCGTAAGATTATCATATCTGATTGTAATAGGGCATGGCCACGTCGGCAGTGTTGGGCTCTTAGATTAGTTCTTCTAGTAGGCTAGATTGAGATGACTTTAAAGGATACGTCAGAAAAATAGTTACGACGAAGTTTAACAACAGGTAAACTAAATTTACTCTCCGTATTTTTGCTAATGATTCTATTAAGTTATAGTATAAAGTATTAGGATGGTCACCCTAATTAAGGAGCATTGTTCGTTTTTAATGGAAGACTAAGTCGTTGTTTGCTGCAAATAACCAAAGCAGTAAATGAGAATATTGGCCTCCTGGCTGTTTTTATTACAATAGATTAAGTGGCAGAACCGATTTAACGGGAAAGAGTTGCTGCGAGTACCACAGAGTCAATTCCAAGGGCTGACGATCCAAAGTTAAATGGCAGAAACCTCACTGTTTGTGTAGTTGTACACGTTGCTATTAAGGTGCACAATAGCACGTTACTGCCTCTCAGAAAAATATTTATATAACATAGACTAGACTAAATGTTAACTAGATACTCGGTGCATACTTAATTTACAAACTAGATCACTTAATATACTTAATAGGGTAGACTAAGCAAAAAATCTCTCTAGAATTTTTTTTTTCCAAATAAAAAAGGTATAAGAAAACCTTTTTCTACAATATTTAATGGATACAGATGGTCTAGATACATTAGTATGATGTGGATACGGCTACGAATAGCGGCCGTTGATAAAGCATAAGACCCCGGATTCAACCAATAGGTAAATGCGCTTTCATTAAAGAATAAATAGATTGCAACGACTAACTCAAGCAGGGTTGTAGTGGAATTTTGGGACCTAGATGACAATAAAAGGGTCACACATTCTCGACACTAAGCAGGCGGTGGTGATGCCGGAAGGAGGTTTCTGCACACATTAATTGCAAGATCCAGCTTACTAATTACGCTTATTTATCTACATCCGTTTCATCATTGTTCCACTCCTACAGTTAGATTAGCCCTTTGTATATTTGTTTATTCCGACAAGCCTATTAGTTTAACATATACCTAACTTCACGCCCATGGACCTTTGAAGTTTTTTCATAATGTAAGGCTAGCACGTTTAACGCATGTTCCTACTTTCAGCAATGTACCTAAACGAAACGAGAACTTATTATAGCCCTTGCCCTTATCAAAGCTTGTCTATTCGGGAGGCGCTAGTTCACTTATTTCGCTATTATTTCGTGGGAGATTTCTACGCACGCAAAAATCTATACGCTTTGACGCAGGGGACACAATTGCTGTTGGAGTGCGCCGGGCTGACTTGTAAGTTCGAGCATTTAAACCCCCAGAAAATTGTTTTAGCGTGATAACTTCGTAAATCCCCATGTTGCAATATTGTGGTTGGAATTCGTAGCTTTTATACGGCTTGCACGTTACTATGGAGTGAGCCCAACTAGCCCAGTCACACACTAAAACCGAACAGTCACCAGAGTCGGTTAGCGCGTGCAGTAGGTTAAGAATCCTTGTCCCCTATAACGTGCAGAGTCATTTCTGATACAGGAAGTTGAAAGGCTTTTAAATAGCCAAGGTCAGGAGAATGGAGTGAAAGTGTCCCCGTCTACAGTCATCATTATTAGACTTCACGGAAACAGCAGATATTTCCGCTCACATAGTCGTCAACGAGTTCCTCTTTAGAATCAGAGGAAACAGCGCTGTTTTGGATCACGCAAACGCTGTCTGAAGCAGCGACCATATTCTGTCACTTTTAGAAGATGAACATACATGCAAACATTTCAAAAACTATGCAGCAAATACTATATCACTTCCGTATACTGCTCAGGAAGAAGGTGGCTTAGTGCAAGGGTTGCTGAAGTCTAAAGCCTAGACGGCCATACAGATTTATTTTTACGTCCACTCGCATACGCGGGTATCTGCTATTGAAGAGGGGATCAGTTGCAATAGATGTTAAGGCGCGTACGCACGTACATTAATCGTAGCCAATCGACTATCACTGCATGCCTAGAAGATTAACATTGTCAAGCAAGAATAGGTTGAAGGCGCGGACAGTTTAGATCGTATGTTGGGACACATATCGCGGTCGAGTGTCACGACATTTATTAGTACTATGCTACACAATAGATACTTCCGTAGCATTATTTATATGACTAGTTACGCTATGCAGCCTCCATGGCATAAAGAAATCGCATTTGTGTCAGCATATGTGCGTCATCATTGTAATAGATAATTAATTATTGTCAAAAAATATAAAATTTTCAACCCTCCTCTGACGTTACAGAAACAAAGTTAATATGAAAAACCAATTTGACCAACCGCAGTGCTTATTAGACGTTGATCAAAGTTTGAGTTGATTTATGTACTTCACTAAGGGGTCTATCCAATTCACTTACATCCCACCACTAGAGTCAATATTTTCGGACGTATTAAGACTATTAATTCAAGATTTACATAGGCTTGTTTACTGAAGAGCTCTGAAGTTCTTGACCAATCAAATAAGGCTACGTGAAAAAAACATTGCCGACTTTGATCAAAAACAGTTACGCAACCGAATTTGATATTTATGCGCGTTATTTTCTTTATGTAGAATTTTTCTTCCTCTGTTTTCTAACGATAGCACATGTGGAGACACTGTCGTGGGAGAAGCACTTTTAAACTCTGGAGAAAGGAGGGAACTTATTGAAGCTCGTATTTAGTCCTTTAATCCCTGGCTACAGTCACTGCTCCAACTCGGTTTGGCATGCTTTGACGGCGTTTTCGCGCCATCTCTCAGGCATGTAGCTCACGTTTGTAGCACTGCGTTCTAGGGTTACGAAATATCCGTGATCTGTTGTCCGGCCCTGGCTCGCTTTTTAATGTATTGACACATGTATTCCATCGAATTCAAGTCGAGAGAATTGCCAAGTCGTAGCATAATCTCAAAGTCATTAGCGATAAACATTTTTAAGACACATTTTACCATATGACATAGTGACTTGCTATGCATGACCACATAGTTTTCATCCAGCAACGATTATCATACTTGGAGGAGTATTTCGTCTAATTTACCTAATTGTATTGCCATTTTTCATCACTCAATTGACGAAATGTAAGGTTCCTGCACGGTGGATCAAAATCGCGGCCCATACTATTACGTTTCTCTTATGTCCGTCCTGTTGAATTCCACAGGGTCTGGGGAATGTTTCGCCAGAACGCCTATAGGCGGGTTGAACGTTACCATTCAAAATCTCAAAATGCTATTCATCTGAAAAACGTACCTCTTCCAAGTCCTCAATTGTCCAAGTTGAAAATAGGAATTATTTAGTCCATTTGAAACGCGCATATTTCTGTGCACGGTTTTGCCAAGTGTTTTTAGTTAATTTACAAGAGCTAAGTCTTTCGATAAGGCGTCAGAGGGTCATTACAGATACAGTGTCTCCGCGCTTTGCCGTTCTTTAAAGTTGCAGTTGAAAAACCGTTACAAACCGGTCTCCTTATGGCGCGTTCAGAACATTCCTGTCTCCTCGCTGCATTGTGCACAGTCTTCAATCTTTGTTTTCTTTTTTCTTGGTAGTAGAAGCACGTTACTCTTTGCCTGCTAAGCTACATTGGTAACTGCACATTTCGATATTCCAACCCACCCAGTCATATTTCTCTTCGCGATCGCTTTTCTTGTATGGCTCTGGCAACTACAAAGATATAAAGAACAAAAGGAATATTTACTTCGTCAGAGCATTCCGAAGAACAAATTTAAAAGCGATGATCGCTGACCACAACTTTGTATACAGTGTTAGTTTGTATAACCAGATACCGATTTGAACTAGCACTTGAGAAGACAGTAGCCATACTACTTGAAGAAAAGCTGCATGAACCTTTTCAGCAACCGGGAAGGGCATTTTATCCAAAGGAGTGTTTTGAAACTGAGAATCCACATGCTAAGCAAACGATGAAGAAGGTGGTCTTGGCCGCGCAAAACCTCAGCAGACTAACGACGACAGTCACGGTTTAAATAACAACTTTCCACCAACGACTTTCCAACGACTTTCCAGAGTAACAGATCCTATCACCTTCTCCTCCACCCTATTCTGGCTAAAGTATCTAAAATAGAAGAGAAATAAACGACACCTAAGGAGAGCTCTAAGGTGTTTGCTCTCCTGATAACTAGTGTATTCCGAACCATTTTATCCGTAAATCCGATACCGAAGTTGAAAAGCGGCGGAAAATATATCACAATTAGGTTCTTATCTGCGAAAGGGCTATAAAGAACACTCTCAAGAAGTTGCAACAAAAGCGGGTAAGTACAACAAGGGAGTAATCTCCTACTGAGCGAGCGGAGCTCTCTTTATGCTGAAGAAAAAAGGGGTCCCTCCTGGAGCAGAGATAGTATATTAAGAGATACGGGCACAGAACCAGAGACAGAAGGCACTACGAACCTAGTACGCCTAGACGCCGGTCAAGCCCCATATTGCCTTGGTAAATGCCCATAAGCGTACCATTACTGTCTGGTATCTAGACAATAATTCAAATATTGACAACTTAAAATGTGCTATAATCTGATCCTCTTCCTTATCCTAAACAGTCATATGCTGAGATTAATAAAATATGGGAAGAAATTAGTGGGAGCCCAATCTTTGCATCGCGTGCCTCACAAAACTCGATTTATTAGAGAAAATAACTGCACATAAAAACAATGGGTGGTCGAAGACAAAAAATACTACACTACATTTGAGCATACTGCTCACCAAGCACCGAAAAACCAACAAACAATTTTTTTGAGCCTGGAATGAGAAAGGAAGCAAAACAAATACTTTTAGCCCTCCATTTAAAGTAATTTAACACATGGGCTGAAGCCAGCACAAAGGAGCCTGTAAAATCATCTAAAGACCTTAACGGATTACTGAAAGCCGTTAGATTGAACGTCATGCATCTAAACTCAACAAGCTTGCCTCATTCGAATCAGTTTCTCATAAGAAAGCAGTGTCAGTCAGCAGCCATAACGTCTTATTAAGATCGAATACGAATGATGATTCATGATGATGGCTCAGTGAGGTCTCTAGAGATCCAGAAATAGGAGTTAGGTAACGCACGTCGGACAGTACTGAATCAGCTTTACTGACTGCCAAAGCAAAGAAATAAAGCAATAAGAATGTACTACTTAAAACTGTAACATCCCACAGAGGCAGACACGAAGCCCTTCTCACACCAGGAAACACATCAGCTACGTAACCTTCAAATGGAAAGTCGATAAAAAACATCAGTGTTCCTTCAGCTAAATTTGTAAGTATAATGTCGTTAATCGTTTGAAGGAAATTTGCTTTCACAACACAAGGAGAAAGGGTGCAGGCCAGCACATATGACTTTTATCACTTTCGTTTTCGTGTCAACGCGTCCACTATGCAACTTAGTTATGCTGGAGACTGCAATCACCGTATAAAAAATCATACGTTATGCAAAACGAGTCTAATGTTAAACTAAATCGCAATAGAACCTCGTCGAGACCAGTCAAAGAAATACCTATTCAACTTGACCAAGTATTCAACTAGAAATCTTCATCAATAATTTAATCTAGGCCTTCCCTGGTTGTTATTGTTAAATTATTAAGTCTTGTTCTTTGTCCAGTCACAAAGTTCGCTGTCCATTAAGTGATGTAAAATTATAACGAATTTAATCATTGGAAAATCCTGTCTTATTTAGACTCATCTTTGGATTGGCTTTTGTAATTCGTTGGCAGTAGTAGTACTGTACAAAAAATACCTGTCCACCGAGCATTTACCATTAGATTACGAGAAAGATTGGAAAACATTTTGAAATATTGAAGCTGAATGTTGAGGGATCAACTTTGATGCCGCGTATTGCCAAGAAAATAACAGAGGAGCTTTGGATGGACAGCTGGAACTAAATTAAACAGTTTGAATTGTGTTAAATTATTTAAATTAGGTTTTAAAGGCGCTAAGACATGCTCCTCTTGTGTAGCTTAAATTGAATAAGGTAAAGAAGTACAAAAATGGTAAAATAACTAATATATGTCAATCAAAGGGTCAAGTAATTAGTTTATTAAACACTAGGAATCTCTTCTTATTGACACAAGTAATTCGAAAACGAGGCTACTCCGTCAGTCTGCTTCTAAGTATAACGCCCAGATATTTTGTCCTGATTTACTTACTAAGCTATTACTGCCCTATATTTACCTACTTCTTTGATCTTTGTCTATTTTTGATCCTGAAAGTAGCTTACAAGAAGTCCAAAATATTTGAAAAAGTTTCGTATTTTATTGTTTTCTTCTATAAACCTTTAATTGATGTCAAATGATAGAGTAGTATCTTATTTCTGTATGCTTTGAGCCATTAGAGATTTATGAGTAACTAAGTTCCAGAACAAGCAAAGTAACATGTTTCAAGCGTTCCCTATTTACAATATTATATACATTTTTTAATTTGACTCGTTGAATATGAATACCAAATGAGAAGATAGCCTTTTTTACACTTGTATTTTTCCAGGTTTCTAACCATTTTGCTTGAGTAAATGCTGTCTATAGAAAAGGAAAAGGTGTTACTCTTATAAGCTTCTATGTAGCGATAAAACGGCATTCATTGTGAGAAGTACTTCTTTGCCTAGCCCTATTTTTCTTAAAATAATGGTTATCGGTTTAAAATGCTCTACACGTAAGATTCTGGGCCTAGAATAAATACCACAGATGTGTTGAATAAGTCAGCCCTACTGTCCTAAGTGCTACTGATATGTTATCATCTAACGCATGTTGTTGATTATTAAAATTAAGATGTCTAATTTGTTACATGACTGTGCAAATTTAACTGTGACAGTAAAACTAAAACTGAGGATAATATCGATATTTAAAACTGTTATTCAATGCAATTTGATTGTCGGTACAACTTACTCAGCACTTACCTTACAGGGTGTTTTACGATATTCTTTGATATATTAATGAAATAAGATGTTCTTCTAGCCACGCACGTATTTCGTGAGAATCTCACGCAAATGTGGCCTTTCATTATATATTTAACACTTAATTCACTGCTGTTGCTTGGTTACCTGAATGAGTTTAATGTAAACAATGAGTGCCGTCATTTTCTTTCTCCTATTATTCTGCAAAAATCATCTTAGATATTTCCTTTTGTGACCATTCTCTTATGTTAACCTGAATAACATTCACATATATGTATTCTCTTACTTTCATTTATTCTCGTCAGAACGAAAGCAATATAATTTTACTGTAATTAAATATTCTTCCATGTTTTGATATTTCGAATGTGTCACCCATTACTAAAGCGTCACATGAACCGTAGAAATAAGAACTTTCATTTTTTGGAATGTTTTAAGTTTTAAATACTAACAGAGTCGCAGGTAACGTTTCACTAGGTGTAAATTTCCCTGAATACTATCTTATTGAACGCTTCAAATATTGCCGCCGGTCTGTTAAAGGCCTCCAAGTGAAAATAGGCCGGCATTTTGAAAGGACGCGGTGTTTGTCTACGACCGTCGGCGGAATAACATGGTCGTGTGTTGTGGTGGCTGTGTAGTAGCGAGTCGTGCTGAGTTGGTGTTGTGGCCGGCGACCGTAAGATTTTGCCTGAGTTCTACGGGTAGCACACGCTACTTGTAATTTGTTTCAGTACCGGCGTCGGCCTATCGCGCCGCGCGCTTGGTTGGGAACACCGCGGTCGCGTAAGGCCTGCGGTAATGCGAAAACCGTTGCCGTCGTAAAGCATTTTTCAATTCTCTGAGTGTTGAGTACAGTCACGAGTGTATTGGCTTTTTTGAACACTAGTCGTACTGATTCCCCGCTGAAGGTGCAAATTTTGATCACTAACAGAACGGTGGTAACTGTTACTACTCGCTACATTGCCAATTTCCGCAACCACAGTTATGTACTCAGGATACCCAGCTGCAGGTAGGGTTCATGAGATTTTTTTGATCTAAGGTGTACGGGATGACATTTGAGTGTTATGCGCGGGAAGTATGTTTTCATTGCAACTTTCACACCATGATCATCCAAAAGTTCTTAAGTTCTTGCATTCAGAGGTGCATCTCTGATATATTTTTTCAGAGATGAGGCTGATCCTAGTCATATCATGAGCGCGATTATGTCCAAAGCATCAATCAAAATAGACATTTTCTTAGTTGACACATGTTATATATGGGTGGCGTAGCAGTGCTTGACTTAACAACTAAATGACCCCGCTCTTTGTCTCACCGTTCCAATTAAATAGAAATGCGCCTTCCTTATGAGCTTACTTGATCAGTATCACGACATCTAATTTTTTAACGTAAATTTTAACCTGTTGTAACTGGTTATATACACGCTTTTTTTTACTAAAATTCAACTTTACGATTGCGTAAAAAGAGATGACTAGTGGTTTGCGTGGTACTTTATGATTTATTAAATCGGTTATGGGAATAACGTCTAAGATTCCTTTTGCTTGTATTGACATTCAAGGTGCGGCTGCGCCCACTGCACAGCCCGCCTACGCCCAGCAAACGCAATGGCCACTGCAACAACAGCAACAAGCAACCCAGTGGCCAAATCAACCGCCTCCAAATGCATCTCAACAACCCACAGCCACACCAGATGCATCAGTAAGTAGGGTGAACGCGCCAAATTTACTGTACTGCTTCTGGGATATTGTTTAATCTTGTTTCGAGGCTCCTTAAATTTCATATATTTCAAACATTTTGCTCTCGAACTTTGTCAATCCCTCGAGTCAAAAAAGAGTACAAATTATGTATCAACATATGACGGCAAGTGTGTTGCTTAGTATCCGTAATCGATTTCCATTAACGTAATTTTGAAAATGCCCGTTAGACAACTAAAGAAGCAGGTAAGGCAGTATGGAAAAAAATTATTCTACATTTTGAATCATTGAGGTTTGGAATATCTGCGTATTGTGCTTATAGTTAATAGATAAGGATGAAAGTTTACATAAGCCACCTAACTTATAATTTCTGGAATCTTGAACATAAAAGATCTGCAAACAAAGTTTCCAAAATATGTATATGTATATATAGCTTCGAGGAAAAGTGTACTGGACATCATTTCTAAAAAATGCTAGGAATCCTTTAATATCCTTCTTAAATTAAATAATTTGGACTATGTGCTCAAGCACATACGAATGTATGATTACATAGTTTAGTCCAATTATTTAAATTAAGAAGGTTGTCAAAAAGTTCTTAGCATTTTATAGAATTGGTGTCCGGTGCACATCTTTTCCGGTTTTCACTAAAAGCTGTTCGGTCGATCATTCATGGTATTTATACTTGTTAGTAAAACGAAAAGGGTTAATGGTAACCATTCTTGAAAAGAGAAGGTTGAGACGCAAACTGGATTCAGTATAGATGCTTTTAACGAGGTGAAATCGCGTTATTGCTTCAGTAACCGCCTATATATATATTTACCCTAATGTTAAGTAGGATGCTGTGTAGAAAAATGTTTGTGTACAACTGACTGCATCTAGAGTGTGGTATTGGATCATCTTTATCAACATTTATGTATAAATGTTGGATGGAAATGGACTTCATTGTTTCCTTCATAAGCCATCCTGTTAGATTTATGCGTTGGCTCAGTTTGAGCGAATGCGTTACCATTTTTCTTTTTGAATACCAAATGCTTTTCCAATTCTAACCATTTTCTTTAGATTATTTGTGAAAGGTAATAATACACATTTGGTATAATTTGACTACCTAACTTTGTTGATGCGCTTTCATTGCTTGAAACTCTGGAATAACATTTGTAAATTTGTAAACACAGCTCTTCAATTCGGAACGAAAGTAAGTTCCAGGTTACTTTGAGCATAATGTCAATAATGACCAACATTTCTACGAGTGAAAATCATTTTTGTAAAAGATTTAAAATCCTGCCGCGGGGCACATTCTAAATACAACATTTCAGAAAATATTGTGATGAGCTTTAAAGATCTGTACTTCAAAATATGTGTAGCAGAAAACGGCAAGATATTAAAAAATTGAAAATGAGATGGTACGGCTTTCACAATGGAAGACAAAGCGGACATTTGATCCTTTTTAAATTTCAATATAGGAATATATATCAATCCTATTTGCCAAAATTAAGGCTACTAAAGTATTATCCGCAATCAGTTCGTAAGCTAACTAAAGCGTGATGTAAGGGAACAATTATTTATACTTACAGGACTTCGACTTTAAAGAGATTGTGGTAGCTGTTTGGTGGAGACGACATTTGGTTAAATGAGCACCAGAGCTGCTTATCTTAATTGGAGAGAGCATCAAAGGAGCTTTACCGTAGTAATAAAAATTTATCAGACGATTAACGATAAAACTATAAAAAATTTTCACGTGACGAGTGGCTGACGATACCAGAAATCCCATAACTATTTCCTGAAAGTCACATTAGTGTGAAGTCTTTGATTTTTGACGTTCTAAGCCTGTTTCTGTTAAGAAAAGGGTTACATTTTTTACATAATGAAATGAGGCTCTGTGACAGAGACAACAAACTTCTTTTGATGTGTTTTTACGGAAGATCTAGTAAGGATATTGTTGATTAGAAAGGAAAAGAATAATAATTTTAAGAGGCATTTAGTACCTCCAATCAAGTCTCGTGGAAGATCCGACTACAGTAGTACTAGGCAGCGATTTCAGTATGCATGTTAACGTAATTAGTGAGACCAGATAGAACAGGCAGAGGTTTTCACTTAAATTAACGTTTATAGAAACATCATCACTCTGGATTGGATTGAGTGAGAATGATGCAGGGATTCTAAGTTCTCAAAAAATTTATAAAAACACACTTGGTTTTAAAGATATTTTTCCTTTTAAGATCCTTTTATTACCATTTTCTTTCGTGATTTTTTAATAAAGCCTGATTTCTCCCATATAAAAAATGTATTTCGATTAGTTTCTCATGCAAAAAATCATTTTCTAAAAAACAAAGAGCAAATGGAATATATACCTTAGACCTAATATACATATATATAAGGTACGGTGGTTTGAACAGCAAAAATAATTGTACTGCAGACAAAATGCATTTCTCGTAAGTGTTTCTATTAAACGTTTTCGCAGACAAATAGCAATATGGCGCATGTGTAGTATATTTTTTCCAGTCCCAAATGATTATAAAACCTTACAGTTAATTCTTGTGCAATGAGAGAGCTGTTGTTTTAAAATACCCTAATCGATTGTTTCTTGCTTCATTTTACGTGACGGCAACTTCTATTCCAAATATTGCTCCTAAAGCAAAATGTGTAAAAAACGAATAGTTGTTGTGTTTTAGCCACCACATTAACCCAATTCCTGCCAGATTTTCAAAAAATTGTTAAATTTTTTGATACTGCCTTAATTCAGCACTTCTGTTGCTGTCTATTGTATTTAGAAAAAATAAAAGACGTGATATATCAACCTGACATTCGAATTGCATTTTCAAGGAAAAGAGCCGAAAGGCGTATAAATCTATTATCTCCACCCGTACTTTTCGTAATTTTTTAAAAACTACGAAAATAAAGGACGATTTGACTCTCTGAACGAAAACAAAAGAAAAGTTAGGTAGTAGAGGGTAGTGCTAAAACTTTGCGATTCAAGTATATTAAGCCAGCAAAATTAGCAAATTGCGGTAAAACTAATATTAGATGATGAAAAAATAGTCAGGTCGGAAATATTTGAAAACCGAGTTGAACGGGTCGTTGGTTTGCTAATAAACAAAACTTACGCAAATAAAGCAAAGCATAATATTCATAAAGTGCGATCTGGTGGCAAATATCCACGTCTTTTAGGTGCACTTGCCATGTAAACAACAAACAGCATCTTGGTTCGTGATCACCATTTCAGTCTCTAGAGATTGCATTTTATTTTCAAAGCAAATCGTTGCGACGTTGTTGTTGTGAAGGAAACACACACAAGTTAAGCATGGCTAAGTGCAATTTTTGGCGAGACTTTCACAGTAAATTATTTTAAAAATAATAACAGCGAAATACATGCCGAAAATACAACAAAAAAGATCATGAAATATTATCAAATATAATCAGAAAATTGAAGAAAAAGGTTTGGTAGCATACTACGTTTTGCTAATGGACGATTATGAAGAAGTCTTTGTAGCTGATAAGATAGCTCGTTTTTTACGCTATCATCGGCTAGTGCTAAACTCAAGGATTTATCTCCGCATTTCGTCTGTAGTTAAATTAATTTGGGTAAACTACGGATTTTTTCAGCCTTTTATAAACATTTTTTAATTATGATTTGAGATTTGGTTCTTTAGACAATTTTTATTAGTAGGTTTCATTCTCTACAAAGTAGTACTACAGTAGTACAAATGTTCTTTTAAATTTTTTTAACAATTTCGTATAACTGTGATTGTAGAATCCGGCGGCAACTGCGGCATGGCAGCAAGCTTGGGCGCACTACGCTCAGCAGTGGCAACAACAAGCAGTTGGAGCAGCAGCGGCTGCAGCGGCCGCTGCTACAGGAGGATATGGACAGACAACCACAACTACTCCTGCCGTTACAGCTGCACCCTCTGCTCCTACCGCGTGGAGCTCCTACCCGCAACAGCAGCAACAACAGCAGTCTGCACAGACTACGGTAGCTACACCTGTTGTCCCCCCTGAAACACTTGAATCATTTCAAAAGCAATTCGACGATTGGGAGCGATCATACAACAAATGGCTTGATGAGAATCGTAATCATCCCGATAAGGAAGCTTTTAAGCGGTACGAACAACAGTGGACAAGCTGGAGACAACAATTATTAGCCAAAAAAGAACTACTGAAACAACAGGAACAGATTCAAATTCAACAACAGCAGGCTGCTCATGCCGCACAAACACAATGGCCTCCTTTGCATGCGCCCCCCGCGCCACCGTCTCTTAATGGTATGCATCAACAGCCTCATCCCCATCAGCAGCAACAACAGCAACCACCATGGACCCAGGTTCCTGGAGGCACACAGCAACCTCAGGGACCGTGGGCGCCACCTCAACAGCAGCAGCAACAGCAGCAAAGTGCTTACCCTCCACAAGATAACAAGGGGGCTTACCAGCAACCACCAGGACAATTCAACGTTCCAGGACTAGGTCAGCGGCAATCGCAGCAACCGTGGCTACAGAGAGGTGAGGATATTATTATGCATACATTACTGCAAATTCAATAGTATTAAAGGTAATATGAAGGTTCTACCAGTGCATATTTAATTTACTTTAAATAAATTTAATTGAACTAAAAAAATAGATGCTTATATAAACTACTCTTCAGGTTCTGAGGAAAACACAAATAGCCGTCCACTGTGGGGCCCCGGTGGTCCCCAGGGAAGGGACAGTGGTAACAATCAGAATTCCGTAGTGGGACGGGACCGATCGTCTCCTGGAAGGTTTGGTGGAAGAGACGGTGACCACGATAGACCAGTAGGAGATGGAAACAGACGGCCATTTGATCGTGAAGCAGACCGTGGTAATAGTAGGTTTGACAGTGGTCGAGGAAGCGGTTTAGGAGTACGAATTGGAGGAGCGGGAGGTGACAATTGTGGAGGCTCTCGTTTTGACGGAGGATTACCGTCAAGATTTGGGGTGGACAAAGAACGAGGGTCAAGATATGACGATAGAGACTGTCGAGAGCAAGACAAAGACAGAGTAGATAAAGATCGTGACCGAGGGCGCAGGGATCGTGAGAAAGGCGAAGAGCGCTACGGAAGGCGAGCAGACGATCGGTGAGTCTGACGAATTTGCTTTTCGAAGTTAAATTCCACGTTCGCACAAAGAATCTACTTCTATATTTCGCACAGAGTTAAACCCCAATCTTCAGATCTTCTGAAATGCTCGCTTTACGAGTCACTACAGCATACTTTGGCGGACTATAGTTGGCACCATAGAAATTCATAAGAAGTAAACTAAATTAAGTTCTTTGGATATAAGTGGGACTTTAGTCATACACAGCTTTTTTTTACTTCAATATATTCTAATTTCCAATAGCAAGTTTTTTAGCCAATAATCCTGAGTACATTAGTAACTCTCCTTAATCTGGTAAAAACGTTAAATGCCTTTAGTACAAAATCCATTTTTCTTTTTGATTGCCTTTCACTTTAGTGGACCTCGGAGATCAAGATTTTCTGACGCAGACGACGACCGTTCCGGCAATGCTAACAAAGAACCTTTGGGGAGGTCGTTGACTAACCAGGCACCTAGAGCAGAAAACGTATCCGAAACCACAGGTGTTTTACAAGAGAAAATGCTGGCTATGGCTGGCATGCCGGGTGGGCCAGATGGCCGTGTTGGTGCTCCAGTCGCAGTCCCTTCGCAACGAGGTGGCTTCAGAGGTCCTTCTGGGCGCGGTGGTATTACCGGTGCGCTTAATAAAAGACCCAGCGAAGACGCAAGTGCTGGTGAATTGAAAAGGTCACGATTTGAGGATGCCGACGACGATGGCCGTAAACCGTGGGATGGATCTTCGGTAGCAGAAGGACCAGCAAGAGGGCGTGGCGGGTTTCTAATGTCAAGAGGTGGGCCTCCTTTACGTGGAGGATCTATGAGCCGGGGAGGGCCTGACGGACATGGTGGGCCTTTGGGGAGAGGTGGGATGGTGGGTCGTGGCCCACCGGGAGCGCCTGATAATTCATCTAATCGAGGAGGTCTTGCCATGCGTGGAGGCTTCGGAATGCGTGGAAATAGAGCAGGCGGTCCTAGCAATACGATGATAGGTCATAGTGGGCCAATGGGATTAAGTGGTCCTCCTGGAGGACCACCCGGTAGCGACGTTGGTGGACCACCCCCCTTTGAAGCTGGCTACCGAGGAGGTATGCGAGGGTGCCGTGGGGGACCGCCAAATTTCATGCGTGGTGGAAGAGGTGTGCGTGGCGGGGGCCCCGGATGCCCCATGGGTGTTCCTGGCCCAGACGATGGACCCTTCGGTGGACCACCACTTTTTATTGATGGACCACCTCCACCGTGGATGAATGGTCCTCCTGGGTGAGTACCTTTATTTTATTTGATTTATAATAGGATTTAGTCTATAGTTATAATATAGCCGTAGCAAATTCATCGTTTAATAAACGAAAGTACGCACAAAGTGAAAATATCCCGCTATGAAAGAGGCCTATTGGACGTGTCTACAAATTGTTATGATTTGTTTGAATTATGCAGTTATTTTGCAGCTAATGCCTCCTTTTCTTGATTTAGATGTGCAAAAAATTTGTTTATTTTTCTAGACCGTTCAATAGTTGTCCGAATTGTTTCATTCAACGCGTTTTTGCATTCGTTATCTAAGGTTGCAAGATGCCTACATATGTAGTGTATTAAACATCAAGTTTTGAATCAACTGGTTCACGCGTTTTTTGCTTTAGAGAAAGCAATTCCTGTCGTGATTACATTTATGAAAAAAACCTACCTGAAAAGTTAACTGCACAAGTCCTTAAAGTGAAATGGATTTAAGTTTCGGATACATTGAGGTTCATCGTCGGATTTTCTTTATTTAACTGTGGCAGCTTTGAGGGAAATGATAGAAAATTTCTATTAATGATATTTGCCAAATTCTGAATAAGAGTATATACAGTAGGAAAGTCTATAGACTTCGAAATTCAGTGTGAGCATTTATTGCTGAATAAATAAATTGATAAAGGACGCCTACTGATGAAAAGCAGTGTCCGTATATCGCATTAAGCAACGGTTGAGTATTATACAGGAAAAATCCAAAAGCACTTGGCGTCGATATATTGTTTCACGAAACGTACGTCAATTTTTGTAGTCCTGGCAGCAAGAAATTTCAAACAGGTGGACCAAGGGCGAAAACGTGCTACAGGATAGCCACAACTCAATAACCAGCCAAAAAGTCAGTGGCGACTATGACTTCAGCACGCGCATTGACAGATATTATGCAACCGCTCTGAAAGTATAGAGACATCGTTACTATGAGACTACTTCATTTAGGTAGGAAAGAGCGGTACTCTGTTAAACAATTTGGATCTCACAGGTTGGGCTCTTGCACTTAAAAACTATACTATACCTCCTTCACTTGGCACTTTAGTTTTAGGGATGTTCTGAGTGGAACATAAATATTGGCCGGATTTTAGTTTTATTCTTCTAATTATTGTTAGGCACATCAATTGACAGTTAAAGAAAGTACTAGTTTGATTTTAATGACTTCACGAGTAATTCATGTATGTTTTCGTAAACAAACTCATCTACACGGACAGATTACAAGAACTACACGTTTCGACTGCGTCGATCGACCCGTAGGCCCATACTTTTCTATCTACCAAAGAATTTTCGTTTCTGCTGTGCTGGAGTTAGCTCCTGCTGTATTTGCCTTGCATACTCATCTCCGATGCCTACATTGCTTATAAAAGCAGCCCAGAAAGCTTATTTTTTGGTGCCTTACCCAGTGCGAAGAAATCTGAAATTGGCATTATGCTCAAATTTCGATGCCGAACCACTGGCTTTTGTTATGGTTGTAACTCGCAAATACATTCTATTTGCAACGAGCTTTTATTTATATATAGATGAACGTATATGTAAAACTATAGCGGCAATTTTGAAGAAGTACAATTAAATATTGTTGAGAGAGATACAAACAGTCTAAAGTTGTGCTTCGAGTCGTTTACAAACAGGGTGTTCGGAATAAATAAGGACAAATTTTGGTGGGATTCTTGTCGCAGCGGGCATACGTTCATTCAATATTCTTGATGACGTAAGCAAGTCTGTTCTTTCTAAAACGAAACTACAAATTTATCGTAGCAAGAGCAGAGGGTTTGTTGTCGGTAAATCACAGAAGTTTAGCAGTTGCTATTCAATTAATTTTTTTCTAAAAGTAAACGATGTATATTGTTGTACACCTAATTATTTCACGATAATATGTAAGTTTCAATGTTTACACTCTGCCGCCGGTAAAATATCATCAGTAAGTAGAAATGTCCTAGCACAAAATTTATTTTCAATTTGTTCCAGTTAAATCAAACCTCTGTGCTAATCTTTCTTTTCTGTTGTTTGAGTAAATTTACATTCAAACCTTAAGGGGTAGAATTTCAATTGATGTTCCTAGCACAGTACATACAAATGTGGATTTTTCTGAACGAGATGAATTACTAACATGTGAAAAGTACTGCATTTATTCCTGTTGTACACTAGCAGTTACACGACTTAAAATTTATGTTTGTCAAATGTGTGTCCTCTTCCAGAGAATCAAGCGATAACAGCTGTACACCCAATATTTTAATAATTTAAGCTAACCAAGTTTTGGTTGTCAAAAGTTGGATTTGATGCTCCTACGTGTATTAATGGAGATTTGACCTCTTAAGTCTAAACCCATTTTCCTATCATATTAAAAACTAGCGTTTTTACCTTTTGCACCTGTTACGGAAATCTAAATACCATCGGCGTGTATGATCAGTCTCTAAGACTAACATGGCATATGTTTCTTTTATGACATATTTTTTTTTTGAAATACTATGTACTTCATCTCTGCCATAGGTCGCATAAAAAGGAGACTTCACGAAACCATATTTTACGAACAAGAATACATTTTTAGGCTTTGTGAACGCGTCCCTCATTTGAAATATGAAAATTAAGTTTCTCAAAAAACGTGACGTATACTGAATAGTTTATCCGTTAATTTAATATGAGGCATGTTTTCAACTTATATCAGCATGGTGGAGTTATATCATTTGATAGCAGCAGCAAGTTTACTGTGTCTGTCCCATTGAGAAACATATTGGCACTCAAAGATAATGCTCTGTTTTTCCCTATTATTTTTTAGCCAACTTTTCTCTAATATCCTGCATGACGTTGTAGTGGAAGACGGTTTGGCACAAGGCATATCTGATACACAAACTGCGCCAGCAAAGTCGTGCCCTAGTAGATAGGCTAAACCGGAGAAAAACTTGTTTAAAAACACCGCAGTTCCTCTAGATATAGGTGGTCTTTAACACTGCTGAATGACTATCTATTCCAATGCGTACAGACTTGCTGAATATGCGATGGTACTGGCACGGCCGACATAATGTGTTCAAGAAGTAAGTCAACTAAAACTGGTCATACAGCACCTGGCGTTTTTGACTTCTAGCGACCTTTATGCTAGCTTCAACTATAAGCATGCTGAGGGTTTCCGCTGAATATAGTTTCATGCCGGAATGTCGTCAGACGTTTTGGCCACACCGATGATTACTTTTGCGCAGTGGCCGGCTTTTGAAACTAGGTTTTTTTTTTTTTATATAAAGAGGCATATCCATGTGGTGGTACTTTAAACGAGTTTGGTTAATAAAACTGTATTAAGAACTACACAAGGGTGTTTTGCAAAACTGGCTTGCCCACATATTTGTTAATCCTTATCAATGAATACGTCAGGACGTTGTTTGCCATTTCTTGTAAATAGAAATTAGAAATTACTACATCATTTCAATTTAAAACCGTTATGATGCGAGTAATAATGTTTTAGGCCGCAATTCCAAATAGGCAGACCACGTCGAGCCTAGTTTCTAAAACAGCAAACGAAGTTCTTGTCGCAGCTGGCAGAGACATCATCACATGAGCATGTTCTTCTAAGGAATAAAGCTAGTTCTGTTTAGAATCCGGCCATGGCGCAAAAGTAATTATTGGTATAATAAATAATAATAACGTCGGGAAAAAGAACATCTGGATAATCTTGGAAACAACTTCAACGATTTTGAAAGATCTCGAGAAGACTGAATTTTAAGAAAACGAGAAAAATCAAACGAGAAACACTTCAAAATTCAAATTTTGTAAATTCCAGGCGATATACCGCAGTTGCCGCTCAGAAATATTTGTTCAGGATTCGGGATCAAGTGTCACGTAACATGTATTAGGCTTTCATAAGCGAATCCGGCAGATCCCTAATTTGCCTAAAGTTTAAACTAATTCAATTAGAACAACGATTTTTTAATGTATGTTGTATGTCTGTTTTTGACATTATGTAACCAAACTGCGTGCTTCTGATCGTTATAACAACGATTCATGGGCCTATCGCAGAATTCGAGACAGCAGACTATATTCATTATTTCATTTTTGACGAAAAATTTCACTGTAGCGGATGCCTCAAATGTCCACTGCATGTAATAACAATACCACCATTTTACGACCGAACCTATTCGACACTGCTACCGAACCCGATTTCTCTCAAAGTGTCGCCATTTTTTCACTTGCTGTTTCTCCAGCTAGCGGTAGAGGTTAAACCATACATTACAAATTATTTATTGAGTATAATTGCGCCAATTGTACGTGAAGCACACTTCACCCATTTCCAGTTGGCCTGAAGTCAATTTTTTGCTCACTTTCCATATGTTCAATAGATTAAGAAGGAGATTAACGTTATACGTGAAATTAATTTTGGAGGACAGAGCTTGCAGACTAAGCCGTGCCCTCATGAATAGCTTCCTCGATTTCGCTTTTTGTCCTTCCAATTCTGACATCGAGTCACTTCCTTGCTAGTCGTGAATACTCCACACACCGTTCTTGAAATGATTCTTTTGCTCCAGGCCTTTTTGCCTAGTGTCTCAACAAATCGCTGCTATAGTCTTTGAGTAACAAAACTTTTACCACTGAGTTTTAATTCTTGAACCTAAAAGATAGTTTTTCTTCTGAATTGGTTCCTCCCGAATCATCTCAACTGGTTTTCAGTCATAGGCTTCTCAAGGCCTGGAGTATTCACTAGCCAATTTTGTCTGCTAACGGCGCACTGAAAAGCCCTTTCAAACTAAGGAGGTTTCGAATTGTTGACGATCCTGCAAATGGCATATGTTATGTGACATGTGTGACTAAGATTAACGTATATACATTTATAGTAGAAACACTGCTAAACTTGATATAAAAGCATGCATTAAAAATTGATAAACGAAGCTTGCGTTTTTCTTCCCGTCTCAGACACTGAACTTCGAAAATGTCATAACCATGCAATTGAAAATTATGTGCGTCCAATGCTAAGCTTTGAGCCATCAGGACAAGAAGCAAACCACATTTAATTTGAGGCCAATTTTGGGCTAACTTAGTTCTAAATTAGACAAGTATTAGGAATTTGATTCAGGTGTCCTAAATCCTAGTTATCACCTTCAAAGTGACCTCCGCCGGATTCGATGCACGTTTGCATTGCTTTTTTCCAGCCTTCGAAGTTGCTTTTTAACATAGGAGTAGATGTCGTCTGTTTCGTTTTTTCTTGGATTTACTCAATCTTTTTTATATAGGTACCTCTTACGCCTTGCGAAAACGAAAGAAGTTATAGAAAGCTGGATCTGGTAATCACGGGGACTGAGGAAATATAACATCGAGTTTTTCTCCGAAAAATACAAACAACGAGGTTGTTAATCGGTCTATGATTGTGGTAAAGATCTATGACATTTTATTCAAGAATTTGTTTGCTCCGAATTCAAATCCTTCGATACAATCCTTTGTAAGCCTTTCCTTTTAAATTATTGATGATTTATAAAAAATAATTCTTCTGCAAATCCGTGTGTATGGTCCGATAGTCTTCCAATATAAATTGTTTTTCCCTTTTCCACGTTTTTTATATGCACTCGTTGTGACAGGTTGCCGAGGGCTAGGGCTGTCTATGGTTTTTGTTGAGAAACCGTTAGTACCACTTAGTTGATTAAAGCCAGATGCTTTATCAAGATCTAAAAGTTTTCCAGAGTCATAGTATAAGTAAAGATTGTTACGCTGTAAAACAAAAATAAGCAGAACGCCCCAAGTTAGATTCCATAAAGAAAGTGTATTTTGTATGCTAATGATTACAATACTCTGTCACATACTACACAATAAATGGTAATAATTATGCAAAGGACTGTTATTCTACTTTAATGAAACAATTTATAGATTCGGTGGTGATGCTCCTCCGATGCGTGGTGGACGTGGAGGAATGCGCGGTGGTCCTGGTAGTCGTGGAGGACCTTCTAGCGGCCTGGGCGGAGGACCTACTCGTGGTATGATGCGTGGGGGATCCCGCTCTGGTAGAGGAGGTTTTCGAGGGAATCGCGGTATGTTCGGTGGAGGATCCGGTGGAGCCACCGATGGATCAGGTGGCGAAAACGACAAGGACGCTGGCAGTAAGTAGGTGCTGCTGGCAGCCCTTCGACGTACACGGCAGGCATAACGACGAACCACTTCATCGATACAACGTTAGAACATAACAGAAGAATAACAAAGAAGTATGAAATATTGCAATGAAAGCTTCACATGCTATCCTGTCACCCGCAAACAAGAACAACCTATATATTATTTTGATTTGGTATGAAGACTGTAAGAGCCTAGATTATCTATTGACCAGTCCAGCCGCAGTGTTTTCTCTACAACGTAATAATGATAATACTTTTGACTTCCGTATCTTTAATCTATATTGATTGAAAGCACCGAAGCTGGAGAATGTTTTGCGTGAATGGAAATTCACCACAAATTATAATTTCCAAGTAAAGACAGACAATTATCACAAAACTACTGTAGTTGTTAAAGGGGTTCTCACTGAAGGCTGGGGATGGGAAAAACTAAGGAGGAAACATCAACATCAGAGTAAACAATATTCAAAGCACTTGGACATGATGAACAATATAACTATCTTTAACGCTAGGATCTAGGTAAATAGTAGTGACCAATGCCGCAACCATTATTATTATGCATACCAATGTAATATATTATTTCGCATAAGGCGTACCATATATGGATGTATCTATTCAAATAGCTTACCTGACTTTTTGCCTTTTCGGGGAGAGCTCAACGATATATAGTAGCTTGGTGAACTTAATCACATTATTAGAAAAGTTGAGCAATACATTTATTTTAAAGGCAAGAAGCGATCGATACGGATTCATATTCAGAACATTGTATGGAATAGCCAACCGGATACAAATTATAACCGCGATATATATACATAAACATTATATCATGAAGACAACTGTAAATTTATTCTGTAATATACCCATGGTGTTTTACAAAGCCATTTAAACGATACACTTTAAGAATCTATGTAACCCATATTGTGGAACAGCTGTGTATACTGGTGTATGAGAAGGAAGGTAGGGTAATGATTTTGACTAGTTGAGTGGAATTAAAGAAAATGAAGAAGCAGCAACAAAGGATGACTAATGTGTATGGTGAATCATCTTGTAAATGTTTCACTAGAAGTCAACTGTGTTGTACTTTCCTTACAAGTAAAAAGGAACGGACAAGATAACGAAGTAGTGTCTTTTGTGTGTAGTTTAATTTTGGACAGATTTGGTGGTTAATTAGACTTGAAAGCGATCAAGTTGTGTATAGTCATATTACCTCCCTTAGTTCGGCCCTGATATTATAACTGTTATTTCAATATCTTGGGTGATCAATGTTCTTCATGTGCTTGCAAAGAGTTGTTTCTACTGATTCCTACTTGAATGGCTTCCTGTTAATTAGTGCTTAATGTTTGAACCAAGGTCTTATATTACCTTATTCGTGTTCTTTATGGATGTTTATTTAATCCGTTTATGTTATAGAAAAATTACAAAATTTGGAACGCAGTTTTTACAAAGAAATTGTAGCCAACGACATGGTTTGGTGTGTGCGTGTCTGTGTTTGCTGTGTGGTGAAAAGGTTTTGTTGATGATGATGAGGGTTGGGGTCACGCGAGACGGGGACAGCAGGGGCCAGAAACACCGACTGAACGTCCCTGCGCCAAGATAGGTGAGTTCAGTTTTTTTCGACACATCATATCTCGTTGCAGACTCACGACCCTGGGCTCCTTAGACTCTGACGAATTTGACTAATGCTTTGTGCCGTTATAAACACTTGAGTGCTTGTGCATGGTGGTGATTTTATACTCGGTTTAATATTGCAGAGTAGATTTGACTATACCACTGTACTACATTTGTAGTGCGGTAATTAATACAGTTGGTTAAGCTATTACACGCACTTGTGTTTATATGGCAATTAGATTAACGATGATGTAATAAGACGGAATATTACAAACGAACACACGATAATAAAATAAATCTAGCGATTTTCAAGTAAACCCGGTTATAATCCGTGTTTTGATTTAATTGCATATACAGCGGTGGCCTTTTAGGGCTATCTAAAACATTTCCTCGCTCTTTTAGTATGTTGGTTTATTTGATTCGTAAATTTCATCGGATTTACGCCATTACTAACTGGAAAGCTGCCGACTGTAGGCTTGGTTTTTGGGGACGATACAAATTCAGTCGCACAGTCAGTTCTATTGAATTTTATCAATGCTTTCTTCAGACCCAACTAGCAAACAGCATTCACTCTTGCAAGATTATATGGTGTGACTGTTATTATCTTTTTTGAAAAAAGTGCCGGTAGTGCGAGTACCTATAAATCAGTTTCCCTTTAAAAATGAATTTAAAAAGTTTTAAAATTAATATAAAATGAAGTAATACTCCATGGATAGATTTTACCCAAAAAAGGCCAAAACACGGTTGTGTCGGTTCCTTGCGATGCTTAGCGAAATTGGTAGCACTGCGTTTTATTTAAGTATTTTTGTGGTTGTTGGGAGAAACCAAACTATATGTAGAAGTATGTCACTTTATACGATGTTGTATCGAGTCCTAGTATGCATGGACAATGCTATAAATTCCTATTGCTGAGGAGGTCCGGCTGGTCTATTGCAGTTTTCGAGTACGGACTGTCACGAAACATCGATGCAATGTCTCTGCGTAAACAGAATATGCAGGGAACTCAGCCGGTGGAGACAAGTGTGGAAATGATTAGAAGTGGCCGATTGGATTTTACAAATAGACGTACCGAATCCCCACCAATATCCAGGTAAATGAATGATGTTTTAGCAATATTATTTACCTTTTAATAACACATATTGTAATATATTTTTGTAATATGGAATATATTGTCACATATTGAATTGATAATACTGAAGGTTTATTATAACATACCCCTACTCTCACGGAGATCAGCATTTGTGCTTCATGTGCTTTTACTATTAATAATATATATGATGTATTAGTAATTACCTTAGCAAAATTTCTGAGATGTTTGAAGTAAGAACCATTTCATACAAACAAGTAAGCACGAACACACACAATTGAGGATTTTCCCTGTTTCTATGCATGTATGTAACGATGTGAGTTAATACACTGCTTAATTATATTGGAGTACCTATTCTAGTGTATTTCAATTATCATGCAAAAAACCTTTTGTTGTTTAGCACAGATGAATGATAACATATACATAAGTGGATTATATTGATTCTAAGTGTGCTAGAAGCCACAAGGTTTACGCTTACATGGTCCATGATAGAAATAAACGTGACCTTTGTTAGGAGCGATCTATTTGGTTTGTAAAATACCCCGGAAACGCGCAGCAGTAATGCTTCCCGCCTAGTATATCTCTATTTCAAAGGTTTATTTTACCTGCTCATGCAATTTTTTTCCACAGACTAAATTTCCATTTTGAAGTGTAGCCACTAAAGCCAATCCAGAAAACGGTAAATGCATAAGCTAAGGTGCGACACTTGCTTTAACAATGCTTTGAATACGTACTTGAATAATGCGTTGTAGCATCTTTGGTGGTGTTTCGATTGATGGGTGCTCACAAATATCGTAATGTATCTCATTGACTATGCCACTCATACTACATCCTTTTAAAGTACTTTCAGTTTCATGCCCTTTAGTGCAGCTTAGGTAACTCTAGAAAAAGCGCTGCGTTGCTTGCAAAAGAACGCACTATGACTGCTACACTAGACGTATATGCCTTACAAACTAACTATACTACCTCACAAAAGTCAACAATGCTGCTCTCTTTGTTAACGCCTGTAAATCTTTAACTGCAATTTCATATAGTCAAACAAACTACGGTTGGTGGAGCAGAGACATATAGAGACAAACTATGCCGACAAGTCAATAATAACGAGTGTATCTAACATAAATAGTCATTTGAATATAAGAAAGCGCCTCCTTCTCCTTCCGCCGTACAAGGGTTCTGGAAAAAATGTGCATCTTAACAATATATGCATAGGATATATATCTAAAGGAAAGCAGTAAAGTTGGTTAACATTAAATACCTAACTAGAAAGCAAAAGCTTTCGCAGTCTAGACTCAACAAATGATGCAGAGGAGTTGTCCACAGTTGCTTGGAATAAGTTTAAAAAACAATCTGTAACTATCCCGTTAGCTTTGCAGTACATAATAGCAACTTTCGAGACAAGAAAGTACGCAAACATTATAGCAACCATATAGAGGGCATTTTAAAGTCCACGGTCAAACTTTTAAAAAGGTGGCAGAGCTCAGCCAAGGTAACGTTTTTTCAGAAAGAGCCATGGGAAGCCAAAGCTTCGTTATGTCGTTCGACGCCAATATTTGTGTACAAGCGTCATGGAGAGTAATCGGACTGTGTGACAACTTCTGCGTCGATTGGGAAGGTGAGGACATGTGCCGGAAAAGTTTGCTGCTTTGTTTAATGCACAGTCAGTTGATAAAAAATAATTAGTAGTAATTAATCAATTGGTCATTTAATAAGTATAAAAATTAGATTCCTGAAAAATATTATGACCGGGAGCCTGTCATTATTTACATACCACGTACAGTTTTAAATTTGTTTTTCTATTTCATATCACTCAATCGACTATTGAGTTAGTAAAGGAAACAAGCTTTAGTTGTGGGGAGGTATACGAACGATTTTTAACGTTTATGGGATAATTACTTCATGATACGATAACGAGTTCTTGAAATAACGACTGCTAACTATTTTACGCGCTGACATGGACAGAAAAGGGTGATACGTTTTTGGCTATATGCAGTCGGCGAAAACTATTTTAGTGAAAAAGATGTTTGCAATCAGAAACTTAAAAAATGAATTTAATTTCTCCTCCAAGCATATGAAAAAATAAATCTTAACCAATTACCGATCGTATTGACCTAGCGAAGGCCCGACCTAGTGCAGTTGATTTGGTGGCTAACTGCTAGATCCTTAAATATCGCGTTCAAATGCATCAAATTATGATGAACTTGATCAGTTAACCGTGTGGTTTGAGCCACTAGCCACTCCACTAGATGCGATTGCAACTGAAGTATTGAAAATATCTTCAAAAATGTATCTCTTTCGTCCTCATCAAACGCATATTTTAGTGATTTGGTAATTGGAACTTAATTGGAATTTGGGCAATACCAGATAAAAAAGCAGAATTCTTTTGGACACTCCTAACTGAGGACCTGTGCAACCGTGTTTCGACGAATCGGATGATTTGTTTAACAGTATTATTAATAGTATTTAAAGGTATTAGGTTAATGTCTACCTTCTAAGAAATGTGAAATCAACTTTGAATAAACGCCTGAGTACCAATAAATACGCCTTTAAATTTTCGATCTGACCCACTTCTATATTAATCTAATCGGACTATTTTATTGCACCCCGCCTGAACATGGTAGTGCAGATCCTTTGCAAGCCTCCCGCCATAATGACGGATATTTAAGTAAGTTCATTTGTAACAAAAACATAGTTGAGTTCAAATTTCCGAGATTTCCTTTATTACTACTAATTGTTATAACTTCCAACCGGTCTAGAGGTAGTAATGAACTATTCGAAACAGCAGACTCCTCTCCGTGCTCACGTGTTATCACCTTTCTAATCGACGCAGCGATTCATATACAATCAGACATTTTCCTAGGTGGTAACTGTCATGTCACTTTTACATTTTACTAAAATATCAACATTAAGCTTACCTTCATGAAAGGATGTTACTTTCTTCGAACTGTATTCCTTCTGATAGGATTGGCTTCGAATTTCTGGAGAACCTACATACCGATATCGCATAAGGACCTTGAATCACTTCTTTGGTAAAGTATCAAATCGGCATAGAAATTCTCGCAGTTTCAAAACTGCCTGAAGTAACGGCCGCTGCCAATATCCACGTCTTATTGTAATGGTTACGCCGTATGGCCCTACTATGAAAATTACCTAAAAGTCGAAAATGCACTATTTTGGTATAAGTTTGGAATTAAAAAAAAAAGTAGCAAGTTTTAGAAACCTGAATCCTAAGATCGCGTCTGTCAGTCTAACAGAATGATTATTTGAGTATGTTTCAGGCATTTTTAATAATGACATATTTTACTTATATTTGGTTATATATTGTTTCATTTTCGCTCTCGCAGCTAACGTAAAACAAATTAATGCAGGTCATCTACACAAGGCTGTTTGGCGATGAATATAAAAAAATAATAATATATACTATATTCCTATATTTACCTTTATTAACGTTAACCTGGGAGATGCTTAATGATCCGTCCAGAACTGTTTGATCAGTACGGACAGAATTTCTAGAAATTTTCTCTCAATTCTCAGATTGATATTTAAGGGTAGCATATTTCGAATATCCATTCCCAACTTTTTTAAACAGTATTTTTTTTAAACTTGGTTACAAATACTACATGTATTATAAGCGCTTCGGCGGACATTTTGAACGTTGGGTTTTTCGACAGTGGCTGAACTGGTGAGAGGTTGAACTGGCTTTAGAATTATACATCACTGGGATTTTTATAACTGCAGCACATTCTCCAACTGATGGTACTTAGTAGTACATTTCTCCTTCAACTGATAGTTTTGTCCCATACTGTAGGTAAATTGAGCATCGGAGATCTTTGTTCGTTTGCGTTTTCATGAATGGCTGCTCAAATGATGCTGCCAAGCAGTATGCAAGTTACAGCAGTTAACAGTCCCTGTTTTTTAGTAAAAGGTTTGAGTAATACCCTTGCATTCGGATCGGACACCACTAGCCCAGAACCTCTTTCATGTGAAGCAAGTATGGAACTCATTCATTTATGATAAATATCTTTATGACTATTGTATCCGATGCCTTTGTTGGGATTTTCGCACACTTATTTTTCCAGACCCGCGGAGTTGCCTCGCTGGTGTCCTTCATCGAATCTCTCCACAGAACGCGGCTTCCTAGTGCATTCAGCTTCCATGGTGTAGAACCCGTTAGCACCAGTGGAGCGTAGATTTTGAGCGTCCAGAATATTTGATACCCTAAAGACACACATGTTATGCGAAGAAGTTTCCTTGGTTTAAAAGTCGTTACTTTAGGTACAGTAGTTCTCCTGCAGATATAAGCCTGTTCGTTCTGCCTATCGGCGTTTGACATGGCTCATACAATTTTCCTATTGGCTTTCTTATTGCCAACTAATTTTTCCAGGCCTAACTTTAGCCATGCATATTTATTAAGATATTTGTTAAACTAACTGATTGATCTCCGGTTTTCTTGCGCGGCCAATTATCCTTTGATCGGCTGTATATATTATTACTTCAACCTTAATCAGCAATTCTGCCGGGCGAAGAATTCCTGTCATATACAAGGTTCCATATAAGAGGTCATGTAATGACCTCTACGTAACCCCGGCAATCGTAAATAAGGACGTACTTTTGTTACCGATGGTCTTATCTTTAAACAAGCTTTGAAAGCAATGTGAACAAGTACGGCTGGACGTTGCTATCTTTTAATTTTAAGCATCGCAATTTTAAAGGCAAGTTATAAAACGTATCCTTTATATCCAAAATCATTGTTAAAAAAATCTACTCTTGTCGGTTGCTGATCGATCTTTTAATGAAGCTACACTCGTTATCAGACAGCAGTGCCGAATCCTCCCCGTCTTCTGCAAAGTTTCTCAGTTCCTCTGCAATGGCCTAGATCTTATTCGCCAGTGTTCCAAGTAGACATGCGGGTCGGTAAAATTAATTTCCTTTATAAATGAGCGTGACCTTTCTATATTTTCAGTTTCAGCTCAGATAAGTCACTTGTTTTAATCATATTTGTGGCGACCTTAATGATTACTGCAAGAGATTATAAACATGTAGGTACTGGCACTTGCCAAGCTTTTTGTAAAGAAACAGCACGAACTCCGTTTTCATATAAAAGTTGACAAGCTCCGTATAATCAAGGTCGGGATGGCTGTGGAGGAGGACTCTTATGGCTTCTCTCTTCTGCTCGTTCGCTTCCTTGTTCAACTTTGCCTTATTTGTGACAGCGGTCGCGGTGTATCGCCTCTCACTTTTAAAAATTACTTTGAGCATCATTGTTTGCTGTATTAAACGCCGTGTCTAAGTGTCCTGGAAATCTGAAGGTTATTAAGAACGTTTCCGTTTTTTGTTTATTCTATTAACTTTTTCTGGCCTTTTCCTGGCGCCTTCTGCAGTTTTCAGCCATTTCTTTACGTCGCCAGCGCTTCAGGTTTACCGGCTTCCTCTTACTAAGGTGTATCCTTGTTCGTTCGCATATCCTCACAAGCAGTTGATGCAGATTAGTGGCGTCGTTCGGAGTCAAGCCACTGTTTAATTTTTTCAAAGGTGGCATCTTTAGCTACGATACAATATATGTACTACTACTGAGAACTCGATTCCATGATGGTTTCTTCTTTCTTCAAAGATCTTCTTTCTCATCTAGGACCTTCCAGCCTTTAGTTACATTCATATGGTTTAATCCGCAAGTGGCCAAATCGACGAGAACTAAACTAAAATACCTCTGAAAGGTAGCGTTTTTTCGCTATTTGCTGTTAGCAGATTGTAGATTCTATTCCATTAGCAATGTGCCTCATTGGCCGTTTTCCAGGGAATCGTACACATCTGACAAGGCATTGACATAACCCGTTATGGCTAGTAATATATACACAGCCTTCCGTAATAAGTAGCTTAATTCTTGAAGTGGCTGGTTAGTTAATCATACTGGCCCTCTGTTAGTAAACTCCGCCTTGAATCCTTTCTTGCGCGCCAGAGAAAGTATGGCTATTGGAAATATATCTGGCATCAGAGAATTTTATCTCTTTAGCCCACAATTTGTGGGAAAGCAGGATATAGATCAAGATTCCGAGCTTTTGGAATGAATATGGAGGAACTCCATGAGTTCCTTTTAGATGAACTCAGATAAAGTTTCACTCGTCCAGGCAGTAGTTTTCTGGGATGTTTTATATCTGCCATTCATATAACAGACAACAAATTAAAGGGGGCTTCCAGAGAGCGGTAGGAGATTTGAGGCACCTGGGTTACTTCTAAGAGAATTTACAAAAAGCAACACCGCATGTTTCGCACGGCGAAACATGCGGTGTTGCTTTTTGTAAATTGTTGCTTTTTGGAACGTGTGATGCTACACTCAATAACATCGGATGAGAAAAACCTTGGTAAATTTTTAATTACAGTATTCCATTTCCTATAAGCACACTAATTCGCTTTTCCGGAATACTTATGAGCAGGTGATTATAGCTTGATTTAATATAACTATATAATATATATTATTATAGTATATAATATAAATAATTTAATATATTGTAGTCTTTCGCAGAGCCAAAATTCTGTAATTAAAAGTGATGTCGAGCCAGTGGCTCCATATTTGTGGAGGCTCTAGCGATTATTATGTTGCTCACCTAGAGTAGTGAAGCTATTATGTTAAGCTTGTTTGAAGCACCGGCATTGGCGATAGTGTTTGAAACTGTATTACTTGGAATCAAAAGCTGTTTTGAGGTGCTGCGAACGTGTATTGCTGAAGCTACTTAAGGTTTTTTGACATCAACGGGTAAAATTCTCTGTGTCGTTTTAGAGGTATAATGCTTTTTGAATCCTCAGTTAGTATGGGTATCTCACTCACCCCCCGAGCACGTGATTAGTCCTCATATTAAAGGTCCTTATACATAGAGGTAAAGCCGTCAATGATTGCGTAATAGAGAGAAATTCTATAACGCTTTGACCCAGCAACCATGAAGCGCTATATACTGTATAATATTATGATCTATTATGATAAACGGTAAGCAAGTAAATGTACGCGCACTTTAATTGGAGACGTGCATATACATGCTTTCACCGCATCATAGAGCAAGGCTCCAGTGGATTATTTTATCTAGTACTACCTATATATTTAAATGAATAAAAGTTTTAAGTCTTTTTGCCAGCAGATACGAAAGAAGTTTTTTGCGATGACGGCTGGTTTATTTCGTCTTTATCTTTGAGGACAACGAGGGGGCTGAATCCCGCCATTAAGGGGGAAGAAATTTGAAACGAATGTTTTGCTCAGCAGTTCACGCTTGCCTATTGTCCGTGCGTTGTACACGGTGCTGAGCAATGAGACCTCCTAAGGCACAAGGGGTGGCTAAATAAAAACAACCCAGCGGAGTAGTCGATTATCACGCTAAGTTGTCTACATATATATATGCCACATGTTTGTTGATGCTGGTAGTACTTCATGTTATTTCCAAGATTGTTTCATCTTATATTCAAAATTTTTTAAATTAAATTAACAATCTTTAAAAATAATTACTTTTCATTGTTATTGTGGATTGTTTATTTTGTTAGTTTTATATTGTCCAAGTACACGTTATTAAGGGATTCAGCCTACAATTGATTTCACCTTCTGCTAAGCTATAGATATCCAGTTTGATTTTTGCAGTTATTTGCTATCACCAATAATTGAAATTATGATAGCCAAAAAATGTAATGTTATTAGAGCTCTGCTAAAGCAAGTCATTGACTATTAATGCGGCGTGTACTTTCAGGTTTACGGTGGATAGAGCCGACAATCGCAGGAACCGGGAGCCTCTTTACAGTCGACGTAGAAGCCCATCACCTAGCGCAGTTGTGACAAGGTTAGAGACTAGTTATTTCGGCTTTTAGAATATAAGCTGGCTGAATAATGCCAGTATGCATCTTCTGATTCGTTAGACTGAATTAGCTGTGTTTTTCTTCTGTCTTGTCTAAAAAAATACTCCTATAGTATGAAACTGCAAAATCTCTTTATCTACACAAGTGGTTAAAGGTTTATAGTGTTTCATGCCCGGAAAAAATAAAAAACTATTTACTTAACATTAAAGAAATCTTCAAATGCTAATACTTGAATCCTGGATTTTTGTCATACCCTATCGCGATTCGTGTAGCTTTATTTTTTTAATCTGATTGCGGCAATGATATTCTTTATCCATTATTGTTTGTCTTTGCCAAGGAATCAACTCATTAAATAAGTTTAAAAATTCAATGTAGTAGCTCAACTCAAACTATTAACGTTGATGCGCTCAATCTAATTGAAGGTTAGGTTATAGTGACATGATATTGCTGCGTCTATTTTTAAACATGCTGGAATCAGTCCGGTTCAGGGAAACTGTACGATGACGATTCGCCCACATGAGTATATTTATCTACTCATAGTTCACACCGAAAATCTGGCATTTAGGGAAATATGCTTTCTTGAATCGACCACACTGCAAGTTATTGTTACATCCATATGTGTATAAACTCATTGTATTCAACAGCAAGTCTTCGCTAATTGGGCGATTCCTAGGTTAGTCTTATAAAGACCAGAACCTAGTAGATTGTTTTGAAATTTTCTGCAGAAATCATTTTTTGTATAGATTTTGCTATTCATTGAAATAGATTTTCCTATTTTTTTATATATATATAGCCTCTTGCACTGGGCTTACCATCTTACAGATACACACTTTGTGAAGCTATTTTGCTTACGCACATTATCCTCAATGTATTCGGTTGCCATATCTTGTAACATCAAGTAGTTTAGGAATTACCATGCTACGCATTTATCTAAAGCGACGGTTTTTTTAATGTCTACTTTCTCTTTTAATTCTCTAATATATGTTTATTTTTATGAACTATTTAAGGTGTTTTCTCTTTTGCGTAGGTTCGTTGTGATTTCGTTGTGTAATGAAGGGAATTTTACATTGAGCTCAGGCTACAAAGATTGAAGTTCCCGGCAAAAAATTTTTGCGACGTTTGCTCTATTTCGCGTTTCGGTGAGGTGGAAAAGCTGCCAAAGCAACATTAAATTTTTATGATATCTGTGGTGCCGATTTGATTCTTTGAATGTCGAAGTTTAATAATGACATCTCGGATTTCAAGGATGCACCACACTTTGATCGGCCATCTGAAATCGATGAGGACCGGCTGAGGTTATAAGGAAGGAGCGAGAAAACTGCAGCCATATGTTTCTGGTTTACGTTCGGTACTGGCATAAACTGCAGTCACGACTATAGACAGGCATCCTGAGTGATTTGAATTAGGGGGTCGTAATGTCCTACAAATTAATAGCATAAAAGAGCAGGGCTTCTCATTGCCTCTCAGCAGCTCGCCTGGCGTCGGGTAACACGTAGTCAGCATGGCAGATCTTTGAACCAGATTTTACCGGTAGTGAGAAGTGGCGTCTTCACATAGAGAAAGGTATAGATAGCTCCGGGCGGTATCTTTGGACTACAAAGACAAATTTTTATTTTAAATATATTATGATTGGCGTTTGATGGGTCTGAAAATACAACTAGATAAACCTGCGGAAAAACATGACGGTGTATTAGAATATGTATATAGCGTGTCTTTATTTTTATTACAACCTTTTATAAATGAGACGTGGCAAATGTCTTTTGGCAATTGGAGAGAAAAAAAAAGATACAAAAGTCATTACAATAAAGAATGGATTGAACTGTGCAATATATTTGTAAGTGAAGCACCCTAATAATATCTCCATGTTGTTAAAATACTATGTGATACTTTAGTATATGTCTAAAATACAGTAGATAGCAATGACTACAGTAGTAATTCAAGCAGCAATTTATATTCAACTTACAGATCGTAAATAGCTTAATTGATGATTTTCAATATCTATAGAATCTGCAGTCCGTTTCCCACACAAACGATTACGCAAAGTTCGCAATTTTTTGCCACATCTGCTTTATGCAGTGAACTTTTTCATCGATGCTCTTAGCTTTAACAAACCAGGTGAGGTCCGTTAACGTAAGAGTTGGGTTATCGAGTCAACTACTGCACTGGACCTTGCCGACAGATCCATCTGATTAGTACAGATTTCGTTTAGGAACCTACGCGTAGCCTGTGCCCAGTGTAGCGACATCATTTTGTGGAAAAATACTGTTAGTGTATTGTAACTATTGTACTAGCCGTAACGGAACCATTTCCCGTCGCATATATATATACAGGGCATTGGTAACAATTACGAACTGGCCACCTAAACATAAATTTCAAGTTGACTTAGCTGCTGCTTTAACATCAAATAAGCGTTTTGTGTTAGACTCTTGAAAATTTGTAGTGAGCTTTATTAGACCGTCATCCTTTGGTAAGCATGCTATTACACTGTGACCAAATAGTCTATTAGTAAGCCATAAAGCAAGGCCGATACATTCTCAAATTCAGCGTCCGTATTACGCAATTCAAAGATGCCTGGAGTATATTTACAAAAACCTTTCGTGTAAATGTCTTGGGAGTTTTCAATAAATGCGTTTACGCTATGAGCAGCCGTTGTCGGTATGCCACTTTGGAAACATTCCAAATGACCCAGTGGTACCAAACTTGCCGCCTATTGTTTGAATTGTGTTGTTCCAAAGTCACTTTTGTTGGATTTGCTCGACATTTTTGTCCCCCAGTATTGTTTGGTGATCCAGTTCGGTTCATAATTTATCAGAACCATATTGAAATAACAGGCATACGAAACTCGCTTCGCTCATGTGCTCTTCCTCTGGGATTTTTTTGTTGGTGTTCAATACCACTGACGGGAAAAGCTAGGGAAACTCCAGGGGGCAATCGTAGAGTGATATTTACCACTTAACGTACAAGATGCTACCGAGTTTTCTTAGCTTTAAAATTGTAAATATAATAGCTTGTAAATATAACTACAGCATCTCCTGAAGATAAGCCTAAGCCCAGGATTTATTTAGACCTCCGTCGAAAAAAATTGTATTCCACAACGGGAAATTCATGAAAAGCATCGGTCAACGAGGAATTATAAGGCATATAAGGCTTTATAACAGAATAAACTTGGTACACGAACCAAAGTTATCCACCTCCTTGAAAATTCCAGGCGGCACATGCACAGGATTATGGGGACCTCTCTGCACAGTGTTGAGTGCGAGATAGTTTTGCACTTATTTTTTCTGGATCTCCCGCCTACGTATTACAATTTTTCCCTGTCATCGTTCACTAATGGAACAAAAGGAATCGTTTTAAACCCTGGCTGGACAAGTTCTTTGACACCATATTTGCTAATTTCTAGTGAAATGGAATAAAATAGTTAAAAGATAGTTGGATCTGATGGCGAATATACAATGGATGAAGTTGTTTTAAGAGTGAAAAAGCTGCTTTGTAGAGTGAAAAAATTGCCTTTGGTTCTAATCTAACATTTTATTTGAACTTTTAGGACAACAAGCATTGCTTTGTTTACGTTATTTCCGATGATATACGATTTTTTGCATGGACTGTAGATTTAGGCAAAACCTACTCCTCTCTCAAATCTCAGATATAATTCTTGCAAGGGTATATGAAGAAGTATATATAATACGAAGGGATGCTCCAACAGTTTACGGCAAACATTTGAATTCCAAAGGACTTCATAGGAGAAAAAAGACAGCATTTATTCACATAAGGCTAAAAGCTTAGATGTCAGTGGAGGTACATGCCGTACCATAAAAGTCAAATTTATGGCCTTTCATCTAAGCTATCGCGATAGAACTTTGTGTGTATTTCTAGTTTCCAGCTTTGAGTAGCTATTAACTCTGTTTCTTGAGCTCAATCGAAAATTTTCCACATATCCAAGAGGTACAGTAAAGAATTATCGGTTGGTTAGATGATATGGTTAAACAGTGATTAGTTGCACTTTTAATATGCACCACCGTATAACATTCTGCAGTATACTTATAATATAGTATTACTGGCATATAGAAGTCGTATTAGGGTGCTTCTATTACAACTGTGCTGCATCCTTGATCGCGATGATTTGTATATTTTCTGTTTCATTAAGGGGCATTATTTCTTTAGTTGTAGAGATTTGGTTTTAAAACTGAGACTTTTGCCTTACCCTCCACATCTGGCTATGAATAATTTGGTTTTGGTTATTTAAACCTGGACCAATACTTAGTAAGCGAGTTCCGAATATAAAGTTACCTTGTAATAGTCGTTATCATATATTCCTATGTAAGTGTGATAGTCGATGCGGAGGCGTGTGCTTGCGAACAATTTATATATATAATTTATATATATATATATATATACATTTGTTTAATCTTCGAGAAATATCTGACGAGCGCTTGATATCGCCCCTGGATAGTTCCTTCTTCTTGGAAGTATCTGGGATATCAATCTGATATATATTAGCTCCAAGATACCACCAGTGCGTTTATCTACAGATATATATGTAGATATACATACTGACCTACTTAATGCCCATACGGCCATAAATCGGTATATAATCTCACTAATGGTATCTTATACCTAATATATATCAGACTGAGCTCCCACAGCTATGTTCAAGAATACAGAGCTGCCTATGCTACCCAAGGGCGACAGCAAGTACTCGCTAGAGGTTTCTCAATAATTAAAAGGATATAAAAAAAACCATTCTTGCAAAATGCCATGATACCATGGCACTGCGATGTTGTGTAAGCTTAAGTGAATACAACAAATTTGTATATACTAATGAAAATTTAGCGCAAAAGAAAGGTGGGCTAGCCGGCAGGCGAAAGCACTGGGTGAAAATGTGACATGATTGAAATATGGATAGTGCTAAGTAGAATCTTCTCTGTGTCTCTGTGTGTAAGATATAAAAAAAGATGAATGTGCCGTAAATAAGAGGTCGTTTTTT